TCTCTCCGACATTGGGGATTTCGCATCATTTTCCGCTGCCATCATGTCAAAAATCGGTTCTCTCTCAATATATTTTCTCTAGTCCACTGGGCACAAATCACATTCGGGAAGGGAATCATTGCGTTTATATATTAACCTGAAACAATCAAATTGTTCAGGTCGGCAAAATTAAGGTCTTATACGGACCAATCATAAAAATGCAATTGATGCAGTAAAAAGACGATCAATGCAAACAACATTACAACAGAGGGCAGTGTTTGCATTTTGATGCTTTGTCATCCTGTGTCTCGAAATTTCCTAATATTTCGGCGGGCTTCATGAATGCTGGACCTGGTGCATGAATGGTTTAGGCTCGCAGCTTGCTCATTTTGTCACCCCGTCCACTGGGATAGCGCAAGGCTCGAAGGTTCCGGGGAAAGCCATAGCATGTACGCGATGTACCATTGTAAGACATTCAATGAAGAAACATGGGAGTGAGGTACCAAGTGACGTCCCCAGCGTCGCTCGACTTTTGTTCGAGGATGCAGGTCTAACTCTTGCAAAACCAGGTGCGACGTGCAGAGTAACAGGATAGAATATTTCGTAGCCGGTGGTTATCACAATGGTTCGTACGCCTTCCGGATGGCTCAGCATCAGTCCAGGATCGCAACGTGTCCGTGAGATCTGAGAGTCGATAGCATTCCTGGGAGTCTGTCCTAACCGGAAAAGCAGGCGAGTAACAATGGCCTTATTGGATGGCGGGCCACATTCGCACATGTCGCAATGTTCTAAACAGCCAACTATGACATTTCAGAGGGATACTAATTGCCAGCGAGAAACCCCACCACGCCCTGTGGTATGACCACTGATCGTTCGTAACGGATTATTCAGTGAAGGAGCCCGACCTATTCAAGGTTAAAGAGGAAGGTGGTCGTTCTCTTATCCGCAACCCGGATACACCGTAGGTAGCCCTTTGCTGTGCTCGTCGGATCTATTCAATGAATAGTTCAAAAACACCGCCATTTGGGTTTCAAATGTCACAGTTTCAAAGGCAATCCGCAATCAGTGAGCTCAGTATGGTTGCGGTTGTTCAGTGCAGGATCTGGTACGTAGCAAATGATAGAACATGTATAACCGAGGTTATTAAGAATGGACACGAGCGAAATATCTCGGGTTTGTACTTCC